GCCTAACGTTTGAAAAATGGCAAAAGCACCAATTTTCAATCCCGACTCGTGCCTTTAAGAATGTGGCTGCATTTGAATCGACCTGTTGAAGGTATGAAAGAACATCAAATGCAGCATCCAAGACGGATGTTCCTCTAGAAAACGTGTAGAAGTCCGTGAGAGCCCTCTCCGTACAGTATCGTCATCCAATTTTCTCTTCTTTGTCTACGGATGCCTCAACCCTTTGACTACTGCTGGTACACATGTGTACCACTTCCGTAGTCAAAGGCACTACCTCAGTTCTGGGACTTACTGAGATAGCCCGTTCGATAGCAGAATTGTGAGGAGATGGGAAATGCACGCCTGTCTGATGGTAGAATTGTGCAGAAATGGGAACTATTGGGTTGTCTCATAATTCCTGTCTCAATTCTGACACTTTTGTCTAAGTTTTATCTCTTCTAGGAGACAGCTGGTCAACAGCATATGCATGCATTTGCTAGGGATGGTTTGGAAGCTTTTAGAATGAGTGGAGCTAGGGGCTTGAAAAATTTGGAGAGGTCGTTTTTGAGGTGGTCGCAATCTTTAACTTTCTTCTCTGGCAGATGCTTATTCAGGCGCAGGGGAGGCGATAGTCCGATAGAGCGATGCCAATGCTATATGGTGGATGAGGTATCGTGGCCCTGGCTATCTCCCTCAGAACGTGGTGAGTTGGCATTGCAATGTGAGGTCTGGCGTACATTTGGAGAAAGGAGAATCTGAGACGTTTCTGACGATTCCCTCGCAATACCGAAGCCAGCCTAGAGGGCTATTCCACGCTGACTTTAGCAATGCTTGTCTTCATACATTGAAGTGGTTCCCAAACCAGGCCACCCAGCGAATCCAACAAAACGAGAGTAATATTCTCAGAAAACGGAGTTCGGGCTTTGGTTGAGCTGGTGCTTCCTGGCTGCGAGGTAGCCATCAGACGTGCCGCATGTTGTTGTCGCAGTGGACTCATGACTCATCTTCCACTGGTGACCGATTAGGGAAGGCTCTGCTTTTGCCGTCCAGAATGAATTTTCCCCAGATGGTCAGGCGTGCTTTTGCTCATGGTCGGCCGAATCCATGTTGGTTCCATCAAGACTTCACTCTGCTGCGGTCCTTTCCATCCTGATGGCGTGTTCTGGTGCATCAGCTGCGCTCAGGGATCTGCTACACTACCCTGGTAGTAATGCCGGAATGCACCTCACTAAAATTATTGAGGCAGGGACCCATCGAAAAGTGATCTACAGAGCTATCTAGTGCTGAGATTAAATATTTACAGCGGCTCGTCCGCCTTTGGCCATTGTTCAGCATTGGACCCGCTAGCTCACGTGCCGATCAGAAGTACGAGAGCGTCAACACAGAGCTTGATCTGTCGCTGCTTGTCCCTCCTCGCATAGGCGTTTGCATTTAAGGTGTAGAGCATAATATTCATTATTTACCACTGACTGTTTTCAATTTCCCACGTTTATATTAAACCTTACAGTGCCTGCTCTTCTCTGAATATTTGTGAAGGTCTCTGAACTCGCATAATATCAACATACATCATTACTTCGGCAATGAAACCGTCTTGCGACAGAAGAAATTTTGACAATTTAATAGACATGAGAACACGAAGTTATGAGACAACCCAATATGAAGTCGTACTCTCACAACAAATCGTCGCAAGGTAAGGCGAGTCACCCTGGGTGAGTCATGAAGTGGAGTCGAAGATTTATTAGACGAGAACAGAATATAATGACAATACAATGAAAGTGTGTTGTTTATATAGTAGTTGACCTGGTCAAATATCCTGGTCAAACCATAACAACACCAGAGGCAAATCCTAGAGATTGGCGCCCTGAAAGGTGGTCTATAATTGAATACTGTAGACCACACATTAGAATATGCATACCTACAACAAGATACCTAAACAAGTCGTACCGAAAGATAAGGGTTCATGAATCAATTGCGCAGCAACCTAATCAATGACCAAATGTTGTTCCATGTTTTAGGTCAAAACCTTTACGCACTACCCGGCGCATTTTGATGTAAATGGATATACTAACTTTGCCGAATTAAGCATGTATACCAAAGCGATGCGCTATTGCAACATAGGGGGGTATTAAATGGCATGCATTTGGAAAGCTGTAATCATGTCTCTTTTATTAAAAGCGGGTGTACTCTCTTGAGCGGGGGTGGAAACTCTCAAGTGCGTGAACCAATTCACTTTCCCGGAGCTCACATGCCCCTTGTTAGGCTCAGCCCTAGATGATGCCTCCGTATATTGCGATAGCGAAATCACGTAGAATCACCTAATGATATTGTTTTCTCCTATGTGCAATTTGCACTTGTCGTAGCAAACTAGAGACAAGCGTCATCGCACACAGGTTGCTGGATATGCCTATTACGCAGATACGACATTCATTTTTAATGGTGGCGCCATCTGGTGCCAGTTGGCGTTACCTTGTCACGACTCTTGTTTTCACCAAAATCGGTGGGACGAATATGACATTCGTTTTTGCATTAACGTCGTACAACGCATATTTCTCGGCTGGACAGCGCAGACGAGTAGAAAATAGGCGCCGAAAGCGCTAGCGGCGATAATCAAATTGGCATGTTATAATAGGAACCAATAATGCTATACGGAATTTACACACTCAAATTTGGATGAAAACAGGTGTCGTGAATGTTAACACATTGGAGCTGGCAGATAGCGCCACTGCTAGAACTATGGTAAAGTATATTTTGTAATCAGGAGCGATTCGAATTACTGCCTAACACACAATATTTGCAGTATTTCCTAGGTGAGCAAAATACACCGCACGGCGAATGTGGCTTCGCTCATCTACGGAAAATTAGGGTTATTGATGGTGTCTCTGTAGAACGATGTCAGGCATGTCCGACGGCTCTTGACCTACCAATTATAACACCTGTTGGGAGGCCCCCATATCAAGACGCTGCAGACAATCTAATTTCTATAATGATTGCTCTAAGAAAGGTGTCGAATGAATGAAAGTGGAAACTTGCCTGAGTGCACAGTGTAATCGCAAAAGCGCACTGAAATAAAGCATGTGAAATCATGAAATATTCCCAATTTTAGAGTCCGCCGTCAACATTTTTGCAGTTATGGACACGTGCTCGAACCATAAAAAGAATGTGCGTCGTTCTGGAAATGAGCTTCCTTATGGATATGTTGTTATAAATTCATGAATTCCAATTTGGCAGATTCGCTTTGTATTCTTGAGTTGAGAGCTACCATTCCTTTATAACCTGAGATCTTCACTTATTAGCTTCCGATGCGACATTGGCCGGACGTGGCCGTCGCATATGCGATTGTTGAGCCGATCCTTCTGAAGAAAAGATCCGTTTTTTGGACAGAAATTACCTTGAACTCCAGCAGGCTGTTCTGAGCACGGCAACAACATGTAAGCCGGCGCTTGCGAGGGAAATCGTTTCTGAATGCACTTTACAGACACAAAAATCTAATGTTTTTTCACTTGGTTGGAGACAAATACAGCGCACCAGTGCCTTCCTCACGTCTAATATAAAAGTGATGCAAACTTAGACACAGCGTGCTCTCCTCAACGCTGTTTTACCCTTGCCCCTTCTCTATAGCTTTCTCTTTTCCTTAAGAGCCTATCCCGCGGAAGCTTACACCACAACTCAATCTTACACATTCATAAAGGTAATTGAAGAGATTAAGAGACGGTGGCATTCGCGCTTAGCAAGGGCCATAGGGCCTTTCGGCTTCAACCCACCACACAACATCCATGTAGCCTACCGTTGAGAATGCGTTGATGTCTGCGTCTCGCTCGTCCCCTACGCTCTCGTCGACCAGCCTGTCCTATAGCCGTGGCTCCAGTGTCTACTAGATCATTCGGAAGACTAGCCCACCGTCCAGAAGAACGGGGCTCGTACTTCCAGGCTTCCAAACGCTTCCTTATCCAACACAGTCACCCCGTTTTCTCTGAATGGATTCTCTCAAACTTCGAAAACAGTGTGCAACTTCGTTTTAGTCAGGCTCACGTTTCTTTGCGGGGGACGCAAAAAAAAAACGGATTGGGCCGGCACCATGGTCAGACGCAATGGACGCATCCGGTGAGCCACTCGACTTAAGTTCTGGTATCACCGAGCAGTGAAGCGACGCACACTTGGCGTTGGAGAGACTACCTGGAAGGGAACTCAAGACAGTGCGGCGCGGTAACACTGGGGCTCAAACCGCTCAAACGCCGCAATGGACGAACCGTGGGGGGCATTGCGCCTGAGAAAGATCATCGAGCTGCCAACGAGACATCAACGAATATACCAAATGAGTATGCACCAGACTTTTGAGAGAGATGCCGGTCTTTCAAACGATCTAGATGCACACCGCAGTCGTCGCCACTCGTCCACAATGTAAGGCTGATTAACCATAGGTGTGATGCATTGCAACCAGGCCCGCATCCGCAATGAGCGTCTGACCCCTGCAAAATTTATCCATCTGAGCTTGGGATTGCGCAACCAGTGGCGTATACTGCGGAGATGTGGAGTAAGCCGCGGATTGGCGGTCGTACTAACAGTGCATGCGTCGCAAAGTCTGATGGAACAAAAACAAAACCCGATGCTAATTCCACCGAATATAAACCTCTTCGTCGTAGGAATTCCTAAAGGACGATTGACCGGGTTGGGGACTTTGAAATCAATCCAGCCAAGTTTGTCCTTCCCTTGACATTGAGTGTTGGGAATTCCGCGCCTACGTAAGGGCCAACTTCTTAACGGAGCCTCAAGATGGCAGCAGGAACATCGCCCCTATGAAATCAGTGCGCAGTTGATGCCTCTCAACGAAAAATGGCATACTGGAAGTAAAATTTAGTTTACTATGAAGACACTCCTGTAATTGCTGGGACCCTGTAGGAATCGTGTACGAGAGCCAAAGTCAGCTCAGGTGCTTGGGATCGCCTATTCTCCGATTAGTGGCGAGAAAGACTAATTGATCTGTTGACTAATGAAAGCACTCCAAATGCGAATAAATTTGCAGGATGACAATAGTACTGTTTATATTGTCCTTGATAATCGCCGTTAATGGAGACTTGGTCAATGACACTGACATAAGTATGCAGAACAATGTGCTTGAGACTCCGTATCCGAAGGCAGAGATGACCCTATCACTTGAAGAAATACTCAAGGTATTTTTAATATTATTTTGATGTTATTTTTTAGCCAAACGAAATAAGATTTGGGTGAAATATGAGTGGGGTTAAGTAAGGAACGTTAGAGGCTTCAACGTCATTCATACTCTGTTGAGATGTGGATCATGGAATAGAAAAGGATCTAGCAAATTTTTCAGAAGCTACCAAAGATGGAGCGCGACGATGTCGATAAGAGGGGATACTCTATTCCCGAAATAAATGAAAGGAGTGGAGTTGACCAGCAGCTTTTCCAGGGCGATATCCTTCTCACAAAGTACGTACTGGGTAACTTGAACGAAGCGACGAACCGGATAGAGCAAATAAGTTTTTAAAGACCACGCACAGAGGACGTTGCCGAAGGCGCTGGAGACGAAATCGAGGATGCCACCGCGGGGGAAATCAGCCGCACCAAGCGTCAAGCAGTCAGAGATCACCGTCTGTTGTGGAATGGTGGAGTAGTGAACTACTACTTCGACGGTTCTCTTAGTGAGACATAGAACTTCCAAATTCTATTAAAGACACTATGATTCTGGAATAACAACAGCGAATTCTAGGCGAGGATCTCCAGAGGATTTTCCAGAAAGCAGTGGACTTGTGGCAGAAAGATTCGTGTGTCAAGTTCGTCTATAACTCTACAGGTGAGAGAAAATCATTAGTGTGTCTAATATCAGGAACCAAACTTCGCTTAATGAACGAAGTTTTCGCACCGAAGAAAATCACGTCAAAAAAAAGTAGTTTTTCACACACGCTGCTATGCTATTTCACTCCGTGTGTCTCTATACAGGGTAGAGGGCAGCAACAACGAGTCACTCTCCCTCAGTATCCAAAAAAGGAATAATATCAAACCAAACGCACCCAACTGGATATTGAAGAGGACACTCGCTTCTATGAGAAAACGATACATTAGCCCTCTACATTGGAGACATCAAAAAGCATCCAAGGGAATCCGACAGAGGTGTATCCCCAAGATGTCCACCGCGCGGTGAAGGAGGAGACGCTGCGCATACTATAGCGGTTAGGCGTAAGCCTAAACAGAGTGCACCATAATATCACACAGCACGCACTGCGGCTCGTCCTTTGCCGCATCTGCGCCTATTCCTTTGCCGCGCGAAGGAAGAGGCGCGGGGGACACTCTAAACAGAGCGCACCGCTCCTGCTCAACGAGGTCCCCGACGAATAGGGAGCATTACAACATCATCCCAAACAACGCTGGTCGCAAGGTTTCAGAGGCAGTGTTCTTAGAAGTTGGCCTCCTTGAGGCGCGCTCCGGGATTGAGCGCACTCACCTGTACAAACCCTGACCGCAATAGATGGAGGTATGAGCGTTGTGATGGTGGCTATGCTGTCGAAAGTGCGCGAAAACGCCGCTAAGCTTCACCTCTCAAGCGACGCCCCCTCAAGTCGATATGTCGGCTTCGTTGGCGCCACCTTGCTACACTGCGAGTTTTTAGGAAAGGAGGCGGCCGGATGTGCTGCAGTGGCTTCATGGGCTTATACTGCGCTTCCCTTTGTGAAGGTGTGAACGTCGTCGTGTTTCTTGAAGTGCTGCTGAGGATCGGCAATTTCTTTATCTATATTTCGGTTTTCTTCTCTGCTTTATTCCTATCATCAATATATTACTCCTGCGCCAAAGTTTCTATGTTCGATCGATTCTGGCTCAGTAAACTGCAAATGAAGTACTTCGGCTTAATTTCCGTTATGAATCTCGCTCAAGACAATCCTCTCTTTTTCAAGGCGGGCGCATGGATGGGGCTCAAAAGGTAAAGTTCTCTGGCATGCTAGGTCTGTCCCTTTATGGATTTATTGTCAATAGTTTGTATAGCTCTGTCAAAAAGTAGTAATTAAGTATTGTTCAATATGCACTCCATTTGACAAGTGGCGCGCTCACCACGCGAGCGGTCCGGGGGATCAAATCCTGGGTCGTGAGTCGCCCGGGCCAACCAAGCCTTCCATCCCTCCGGGGTCGGTTAATTGGTACCAGACTTGTCTGGGAGGATAAAAACACTGACTTGAACATCGGCTGGCCGTAGTGCGGCTGGCCCCCGCAAGTCATTGTATAGGCCACATCGCATTCAAAAGCCACTGCGAATGTACAAATGGAAGTAGAATGCGTGCCGCATCCCACAAAGGGATTGATCAACGGCAAATGCTTTATTTATCCTTATTCAGTGCACTCCAATCGAAGGGCACGCGCAACGCGGCGGTAGTGCCATTATACGGGGCGCGAGACCGTTGAAATGCCTCCAGGCAGCCCCCTTCCCTTTCATGCTTTTCGGCCATTGTGGCATAGACTAAATAGCCCTGAACGGATGGAAGGGGAAGCCAGTCTCTGCAATTCATGTTAAGGCCTTGACCGCGAAACATTTGCGCAGCAATGGCGGCTCCCGTGCCTCTAAAGGTAACACTTTTGATATAAAAGCGAATGTGTAGAGGAGACAAGGGAGTATGAAGGAGTGACAAGGGAAGTATAACGTTATGGGAAGGGGTAGTGAAATGCGGTAAATCCTCGTCTCGATTTTCGCCTGGGCCATAAGTGCTCAAGCGCTCCTTCACACATTTTGCGTATCAAAAGCGGTCTTATTTCTGCAGTTTTGAACACAGCAAACTTATAATTGAAAGGGACTGCTCTAATGATCCAATCGCGGAACGACCCTCTGTAAGAATTTGATCAACGAGTCATAGCTGTAGTCGAGGGCACTTTCAATTTACTAGAACAGCGGCATCAAAATGGCTCGAATGAGCGCAATTGAGTGAGTTGATAGCGTTCCCTTCCAGCTTTCGATCGGATCTCAGTGCAGGCAGGGAATGGTTGCTTGTCGGCAATAGGAAAAAGAGGAGGTGAGCAGCGAATATCACTAGGAAAGGATGTGCCTTCGGTCGATATTGCCGCTCACGAGATTGGTCATGCACTCGGATTCTACCACACCATGTCTAGGGAAGATCGCGACAAATTCATCACAATGAATATTGCAAATGTAAAGGTAAATAATTGAAAAGGGGATCGAAGAAGTGGGACTACTTATGCTTGCCTTCATTTACAGCATTATTACCAAGACAAACTACTAGGAGAAGACACACTAACACTTGACCTGCCGTACGACTACGGGAGCATTATGCACTATGGCAAATCGAGGTATCTTATGATTTATCCTGCAGTGAATTCTTACTCGCTGTTTTTCTGAATGTTTTCGAGTTGATACCTGTATTCTGTGATGGATGTATATCTGAAGCCGTCAATTTGGGTCGTGCAAAGCTTATGCGAGCAGCACATCATGGCGTACCGCATACCGCTCATGACATGCGGAAGCTTTGCACGACACCACCCACCTACATGTATTCTCTCACAATTGCCCGTAAGCATGAAAATGCATCTCCGTCAAATCGTGCAGTCTCATCTACTGATTTCTTTTCTAATTTTTTCAAAATTTCGATTTCTGGTTATCTTTCTAGTCCATTGCTGTGATCAGCAAGAGAGGACCGTGGCCTATTGCCACAAGGTTCTGTCTTTGCGTAGAGCTTCCAATTTTAAAGACTTCTTTCAACAGCGTGTCGATCGTCAAGGAACAGCCAGCGATTTTGCCGCTCGAGTACGACTACAAATATACAATTGGGTCACCGTTCGTCTCTTTCGTGGATCTGGCAATGGTCAATAAGCTCTATGAATGCCAAAGTGAGCAGAGAAATAAGCGGCTTTTCCGAAAAAGTTTTTCACAAAGTGCTACTAGCCGTGATTTGCTTAAGGCTGAAAATAGTAATTTGTCGCGCTCACTTCGTAATCCTTATGATGTGTTCTGAAACGGGGAAATTCATATCAGTAAGGTTTTTGGATCTGCTTTGGAGAATGACTGATCGCGCACATAGCGACATGATGACGCATCTTTGCCTTGCAATGCAAATGCGCAAGTACGGCGCCGCTTGGGACGAGGCCATAGTCGCGCTTCCGCAGCCAATATTTCTCGATCTTCATCTTCGCGGTTTACTAAAACTACTTTCAGAATCGTGCGATCCCACTAAAAAAGTGTCTTGCGACATGGGCGGCTTCCCTAACCCACGTGACTGTAGCAAATGTGTCTGTCCTGGTGGTTATGGCGGAGACCGATGCAATGAAAGAGTAGGAAAAAAATCAGTCGACTGCAAGAACATAGATATCAGTTTTTTATTTAGCCAAAGGACAATTGTGGAAGTACATTAACAGCGTCGCCGAACTGGACCACTTTCACAAATACTCTAGGGGATCTGAGTGTTGATGTCAGAGAGGACTTCACGAACTGTACATTCTGGATCGAAGTACGTTAGGCTTTTCTCTTTTGACGATACAAATATGTTGTAAGAAATGGCCATAATAATAGTTGAAAGATAGCAGGTTCCATGTCCGAACAGGCCGTCGGGCAGGTTTTAACGGCGAACGTGTGCCCACACCTGCAGCGTGCAGCGCTTCTGGAAGAAGGTGCCCAGTTTTAGGGAGCGCACGTCGACAGACGTGACATTTAATTCCAGCGACAT